TAATATACCATTAAATAGTTTTGTATGTTCAATAGAATAAAATGCCACACATACATGGGGAAATCTTTTGAGACGGGGACATTTTGCCTATTGGTATATTGTTGCCGCCACAAATCAGCTGCACTGCCAAGTGCGGTTTCTATGCCTTCGTTAATACTACTTATACATATGTGTAAATATCAGTAAATAATTATTCATAACAAAACTAACGGTTTAAATGCCTAAATTATTTGCTAAACTCGAGAAAATCAGGAAATTTCTAGTGCAACTCGCTCAAAATCTCCTTTTTATTAATAGTGGTATTCGCGCTTCTGTGTATTCGCTGTATCCTGCTTAAGTGTAACTGGAAGAGCGTGGGGTAGTTGTTGCATGTGTATTTGATGTAGCGCTAGCAACAACAAATCATGCAGTTACGATTACACAACATACAACGAATACACATAAGAGCGAATTCCCCTAATGTATAACTTCTGGAAAGGCCCGATCTCAAGCTTGGTGTTTTCAGACGTTAATGTATTTGTAGGCTCCGAGGAATAAAATTACAGGTATTAGAGAAATGTGCCAGTTACCAAATGAGAGAAAAAAGCTGCTCACAACTGTAACTGAATTTCGCGTATTTTATAAAAAGCGTATTTGGGTCTGTGTAAAAAATGCTCACCTCTAAAAATTATTTTATTGGTCAGTACTGGTTAATCTTTACTAATATAAACGCGAATGGTTTGTTTGTTACGCTTTCACGCTTTAAATAATCAACTGGTCATCAGGATAGCTTTTATCTCAATTAGCCCACGTTCCCACGGCAGTCGGGTCTACGTAACCGGAACGACCCAGATTTATATTTGGCCAAGGACTGTCACTCCAGCAACACTACCCAAAAACTTTTTGGGGAACTTGTATGGTGCTACAACAACGACAACAACAACAACAACAACAACAACAACAACAACTGAAATTTTATACTACCACCTGTTACAAAAATTAACTTATATTTAAAATATTTTATAAATGAATTATTACAAAATGTATGTCGATCAAGTCGTTGTATCCCAGAAATGGTGATTCTTAGGAACAAAAGTGGCATAACGGTTTTTGCAGATAACTGCATGATCTACACTTTTGTCTAACCTATTTTTAATGATAAGCCTTACGTTTAGCTTAAAAATGGTAACAATCAATTTATGTGACCTTTGACCTTGAATAATCTTTTTTACAGATCTCGGATCGATCAGGACTTTTCAAATTCCATAATGATGTTCGTAACATTCGTACCAAATTTCAGCTTTATGCGAGTTACTGCAACCTTCAGTTTAAATATATGGTTTAAGTAGAGTAGCGATTAAAAAATATTAGTTACACAGGTTATAATGTATTTCAATTAGGTTGACAAGTGATAATTTATGGGAAAAAATTGCCCTATGTTAGAGTTTTAATTTTTTTTTTGAAGTCTCCATCTCAAAAGATTTTCCGGCATACATACATGTTAAGAGGGCCTTGCCAAACACGCATTAAAAGCGTAAATAAAAATAAAGACACAAGTAAATTTATATTCAACAATGAGCATTAAAAGATAATTAAAACATAAGAATAAAATGTTCGTTTTCGTTTATGAAAAGTCGTTTGTAGCTGGTAATAAACTTAAGTACATCCACGAGTTTATGAATCAAATGCTCACTTCTACTAAACGCTTTTACTGAGTTTTTGCTAAAGACCCAATTGGAGTGGTCGGATCGTGAAAAATGAATAAATAATGCATACAAATTACAATTATGTAATTTTCAAATGAAGTACCAAGCCGTAGTGAAACATTCGCATTTTATCTTAAATTTTTATATGTGAAATAAACAGAGATTAAAAAACGATAATTACTTAGAAAAAAATTAAAAACAGAAAAAACGTACGATTCCTCACAACCCAATGTAATCAGGAAAAATTATTTAAATAAAAACTTTCAAATTCCCCCAATCACATAATTCACTTAGAAGTAATTAGAGGCAATCATGGTGTTACTTATGTATATGTGTGTGGAAATATGTAACTTCTGGTCATGTGGGGGCGTTCACAACTTACCGCTGGCTTTACGACTAAACATACTAGTTATGGATTTGCTGATACTTTTACGCTTATTATCGTTCCGCTTGAAGGGGTCATACGACGATGAGGGTGTAACTTGTACTGGTGATGCTGACGATATGCCTGCGAATGTCGTTTGTGGACCGAAACGCTGCTGCTGCTGTGGAGGCAGCGTATTTTTAGCAATATGCACTGGTGAATTGTCCGTCGCTTTACGCGCGTTTATCAAACGAAATTCGCGGTCGATGAGATAAGAGCGAGCCACATCGACAATTTCAAGCGAATCCTCACACATCGGCAATTCCGCATCAATTTGTTGCTTAAGTATGCGTAATATTTGCTGGAACGATGGTGTGTCCGAAGTGATAACAATGTCCGGCCGCAATAGAAGTGAATGAACCAATCGTAGTGGATAGCAGGCGAGCCGCGTAATCAAACCAGTAAGATGTAAGTTTACATATAACGTGTTGCTGGTGAACGTTTGCAATTTACCCCATATTGCGTTTAGGAAGGGACCTGAGGTGAAAAATGAAAGTAGTAGCAACATACTTAATTATTATTTTAGGGGTACGCTGCACACTTACCTAAACTTACTGTCCCTTGTGCAAAGAGATCTTCCGAAAAGTCTAAATCAGTAAGGACTAAATCGTTGTTGTTGCTCGATACGCGCCAAATTTCTTTTCTGTATTGTTTCGCAGCTAAACTGTTGCTATTGCTACTGCTCCCACTATTATCTAGCTCACCTTCACCGCCACTTGAGCTTAACATATGCATTGTGGAATTAGCGGTTGAGTCTGTACACTCACCACCATCTTCATCGACGGGTCGCCACTTAAATGACTCATAGCCGCTTGATTCCCCTATGGACTGCAGACTGTCCGGCTGTGTTTTTTCCACAGCAACTCTGGCGTTTATAGCCGAACTCGCGCTTTCGTTTTCCGTCAAAGCATTTGCTCCAAATTCAGTGAAAAATTGTTTAACCATCTCTATAGCCTGGGTCTGCTGTGCGCGTAGATTCTTTGGCGGCCACTTTTGGTATTTGTATGTGTTCCTCCATTTGGAACAGGCATTCTTACATTGTGTGATGCGGCAATGCGCTTCAAAGAGGTACGCGTGAAAGTTGGCATAGAGACTGTTGCCCGTGTGCACGCCGTAGTAGTTCCAATTTGCGCCGATGGTTTTACTCATTGTCGATGTCGGTGAAGGAGCGCTGGGTGCGGTGGTTGTGTTGCCACTGTGTCACCGAGTGATTTGTGCTTAGTTAATTCTCTTGCGCGTTTCATTACGTCTGGTGTAAGGTCCAGAAAAAATTCGGCTGTGTTTGTGTACGGGTCGATTTTATTTATTTTATGTCGATGCGAAATAGGCACATGCTTGCCGGGCAGTATGTACTTCAATAAAAGCTCCAGCATTAGGTCTTCGCAGTGCAACGCAAGCATGGTATCGAACAATGCCATTGTTACCATACACAAATTTGCATCCGTGGAACCCAGACGATCTATTAATATGTCCAATATCCGTTCTCCATCAAACTTTTCCGTATCCAGGAGAAATTTGACAAAGGCGCGCAGTAAACCTGGCTCTGTTATGGATCTCAATATTAAATCCAAATAGGACATTGCAGATATTTGTGACTCAACGTTTGTCTGGAAATGTTTGCCTTTCAATGTCTGTAAAAATTATCAAAGAATTGTTTCGATTTTTCGATCGGTGTTGATTAAAGAAAGAAGGATGAATAACATATAAAAGGGGACGCATAAGAGTTAGCAAAATATAAAATCAACATAAAAACGTAAAGCAAGGAATGAAGGCCAATGTGAACTAAATAGTGTTACCTTAAAAAAAAATGAATTTGTTCAACTACGCTATAAATATACTTATCTATCTCTGTGAGTCATACACAAGTTGCCGTGGACAAAATAATGAAAGATTTTAGTTCAAGTTATTACATGGTAAGTTATCTTCTGCAAAATAAATGCTAGCACAACGTTTTGTCCGTGAATAGTCTTCATTTACATGCTTATCGTTTAAAAGCGAAAACAAAACTTCCAAAATAATTTGCCTCTTTAAATAACAATTTACACATACCTAGGTAGATTAAGAAAAAAAATAAATAAATGTTATACATAACCTCAAAGGACAAAGTTAAGGTACAATTTGCATGTAAGGGGGCTTCCTGCAAAAACGGACTGCAGTTTTTATGGGCTGGTGGGGGGAAACCCCGGATCATAGCCTATGTAACTGCTCACTTATCATGACTAGTAGACTGATACATCTTGGTGAACGATTATCATCCCCATCCAAAATTTGAAAATCGCACCCCCCAGAGTGCCTAAANTTTTGCGACAAAGCCATACAGAGTAGTAGTGCATCCCTGGCTTGGTGGCCGATGCTACCTTCTCGATGCACGTATGGTATAAGTAGTGAAAATATAATGAAACTAGGAAAAAAAACAGTAAAAATATGTACGAGAAAAAGCGTGATACAATCAATTACTTAGTGCTTGAACCATTGTTGGTACGCAGCAGCTCTTGTCCGCTGTCACTGGAAGTATGTTTGTGCTGTTCCTGTGCCGCCGAAAAGAAAAACAGATCGAGAAGATGAACGTTTTGCATTAACACCACGCATAGCTGATTCAATAATATAACTAAACGTTTTTCCAAATCTGGCGGAAATATTTCCCCCTGGCTCGAAGCGAGTATCTTCAAAAGCGGCCTCAGAAAGGGTTCATGACAGAGTAACTGATGTCGCGAATGACTAACAAGTAGTTCATACAACTTTAATTGTTCCAATCGCACAGCATTGGCGTAACGACCTGTGGTACAGCCCCATTCGTATAGCTTATCAAGTAGGTTTTCACTGAGCATATATTCTAAACATGGCGCAGGTGGTGGCGCGGCATCTGCTGAGGGGATTGATACTTTGTTGCAATGATGTAATTCTACTAGCAACAGTGTCACCATAAAATCAAGATGTGATACTACGCCCAGTACATCATCGTGTGAAGAAGGTCGCTGTGGTGCATTTGATCGTTGAATAATTTCGTAGGCTTGCTGCCAATGTTTACAAAAACTATCATAACAGGCTCGAGGATCACAGTCTGTGGCTGCGTCGATCGGTCTTTGTCGTAAAGCTGTTGTTGTGGTTGAGCCTCCTGGGCCGTTATTGCTATTAGCAGCTGAAAAGAATGGTGAACTGTTTCCGCTGCTGCGTGTTAAGCTCTGTCGCAGCGGGCTAGAGCGTAGCCAACTCATTTAGTATGTATAAACTACTTCGACGCAGATAGTGAAATTTAGTAGCGTTGTTTACGTTGCTTGGTTCAAGATATCAACTTAGCGTCTGAGTTCTTATTCTTATCAATTATACATACAGTAGCCACCGAAGCCAATGAAATCTGGACTATCTATTAAGCTATTTATGTAGACGACTTCCAGAACATTTTCTGATCGGTTTTATGCTAAAAGAAAATTTTTAGTAGTCAATATTACAGTATGTATTAAAGTGCCAATACACTATTCAAGGTGCGTATAATTTAACAATCATGCATATGAAATACACATGTATATACATATATCTGTGGTCATAAGCAATAACCGCCTAAGTCGACTTGGGAAAGAAGTGAGTTATATATGCAGTCGTATTCTGCAACTACTATTTCATGTGTATGTGAAATCTAATCTCACTATCCAGGCTATTTAAAAAGTTATAGACAAACATATTTTGATATCCCCGAGAAAGATAACATTATTATCCAAATGTCTAAAACATTTCTTCTCGAATTCAGGTTTTACGACTTAAGCGGTTATTGCTTAGGACTACAGTATACAAATATGTATGTATGTGCGCACATTAATGTAACATTTCATGTAAAAATAAGGTGTGTGTGTAGATTTAGATTTCAAATTAGTAATTTACCTCTGGCCAATGCCTAAAGTGGGTATTGCACCTGGTTCTTATACCTATTTACAGTGTCATAACAGACATTTGTGCTTTAAAAATTTAAAAATACAAGTACATATAGCTCCATGAAGCAGGGGAGTCCAATGTTACACCTCCCGCACCAACCGCTCTTCAGGACCACAGCACACCACCTCTATTTCGCACAGTGCTATGTTTTTTTACACGACCTTAACTAATTTTAGTTTCGCTTTATCACTAAGCTAAGCATTATTAATAGTGCATTTTCGAAAGTATAAACAATTTCTTTTATAAGCACTAACAAATTTATGATTAATTTTTATTAAAAATACTATTTAATACGACATTTACCCCGAGTAAAATTTTAATCAACCATCCGAATAGAAGAAAAAGAAAGTATATGACTAAAATGACCGATCACAATAGTTTTGACAGCAGCAGCGTTGCCGTTTCACTTAAATTTAAGCAAAATTGATTAATTTTTTCCTGCCTGCAAAGAACGTAAATGCAAAGAACGTAAATCGTTCGGATAGCGTGATCTGTAGCCGTTGGTTCAGACAACGAAGGTTCTCTGGTTGGTTCATGGTACAAATGTACGATTGGTCTGCTTTCGTTGTTGTTGTTGTTGTAGCGGCTACTAAGCCCCGTTCGGGACGGTTCATCCATCATCGTTGTCGTCTATTTCAGCTAGGGGGAGGCCCAGGAAGTGTGCTACTTCAAGAGGGGCTGTCCATAGGGGTAGGGGCGTTAGCTGAGTGGGATTCTCAGGGCATGTGAAGAGGTGCCGGGAGTCATGTGGCGACTCTACACATGCCGGGCATTGGTTGGGCACATCCGCGTTGATTCTACTCAGGTAGCTGTTGAGCCTGCTGCAATAGCCAGAGCGAAGTTGGGCTATTGTTGTGCGGGTCTCCCGAGGCAGACAAAGTTCTGTCCCGTCCACGTCCGGTGGTTGTGTGCCTAGAACGGCATTCACAGGACGGGAGTCTACATAACTTGAGACTGATTCCCTGAGAATGCCGTTGAGGGCCTGTCGGTAGGTTGTCGGGTCCAGAGGTTGTTTAATATACCTCTGGACTTCGTCTGTCAGTTCGTAAAGATGCCTCCTGACGTGCCGTGGCGAGGGCTTTTCCGCGAGCAGTTGCCCGCTGGGATGGCCACGTCTGTAGCTCCCAGCAAGGAACTGCTTGCAGAGCATTATGTTATGCTCCTTTACCGGGAGCATCTGAGGAGGCATCCTGTCGCGGTTCGTAATGCCGTGTTTTGGCAGGTCTGCAGCTTCATCCCCTGCGTCCTGCTAGTCCCCGGCGACCATACGGGCGCTGCGTAGTTCAGAACCGGCCGGCCAAAGCCTTGTATGTTGCCAACAACGTTTCTTTATCTTTGCCCCAAGTGCTGCCGGCCAGCGACTTGAGGACATTGTTGCGGCTCTTTACTTTGTTGACAATTGCGGTTGTATGCGCCGAGAAGGAGAGCAGACTGTCGAAGGTAACTCCGAGGATTTTCGGGTTATTCACCGTCGGTATTGTTACGTCATCGACGTGAATACCCAGTGGCAGTCTGACCTCCTTCGTCCAGGTGGTGAAAAGGGTTGCCGAGGATTTCGCAGGGGATATGGCTAGGCTCCTTGCAGTGAAGAAGCGAGAAAGTTCGGAGAGGTAAATGTTTACTTTTGAGCACAAGTCATCAATTCCATTCTCAGACGCCATGATCGAACAATCGTCAGCATATGAGACTATATTAACACCCTCTGGTGGCTGAGGAAGCTTTGATATGTAATAATTAAACAGTAGCGGGGACAGGACACCACCCTGTGGTACCCCCTGTTTAATTTTACGTGGCTTGCTGGTTTTGTCTAAGATTACTGAGGAGTGTCGACCACTCAGGTAATTCGCCGACCACCGTTTGAGTCCCTGTGGGAGTGAGGAGGCGTCTATATCTTCTAGGAGCGTTGAATGACTGACAGTGTCGAACGCCTTGGACAGGTCCAACGATACTAGAATAGTTCTCCCACAGGGGCGGTATCGGTTTAGGCCACGAGTTATCTGAGTGTTTATGGCGTTAAGTGCTGTTGTTGTACTATGCACTTTACGGAACCCATGTTGATGCTTCGCTGGGGTCAGGTGGTTCGTGAAGTACGGGAGCAGCAGGGCCTCGAGTGTCTTCGCTACCGGGGAAAGGAGAGTTATCGGGCGATAAGACTCTCCTTTGTTGGCTGGTTTCCCCGGTTTGAGCAGTGGGACCACTCTCCCCATTTTCCAGATGTCTAGAATGACGAGAGTGGCCATAGACAGATTGAGGACCCCCGTTAGGTACGCTACTCCCGCAGGACCCAAACTTTTCAGCATCAACATGCATATTCCGTCGGGTCCAATGGCTTTGGAGGCTTTCGCCTTCCCGATGGCCACCTGAACTTTACCGCAAGTGAAAGCAAGGGGGGCACGGGTTGTTGGCAGTTTGTGCAGCCTTCTGGTCACTCGGCGCTTGGCTTTGTCCACCGGAGGATGCAGTATGAACTGCCGGCTAAAGTAGCTCGCGCATCGCTCCGGGTCCGACGAAGCATGGTCGCCGAAAGAAATTTCGACAGAGGCGAAGTTACAGGTCTTCAGATGCTCCTCCCACTTCTTCCGCTTATGTACGTTTACTAGTTGCCGAATCTCCGCGTTGACATCCCTAATACGGGGATCTCCGGGATCGGCCTGACGAAGGCTGTCGCGCTCATCGGCTAGAACAGCCGCTTCGGCAGGGAAGTTTGGACGTGGGTCCGTTATACATCCTGCCGGTATGAAGCGAGCTGCAGCAGCAGTGACAGCCCTGCGGAACTTACGTTCACCGAGATGGACGTCGGTTGGTGTGAGAAGCGCAGTGAAGGTGTTTTCCAGCCACCACCATTATCTCGCTCGCGATCTCGACGGTGCACGTTGTACCCGGCGCAATTCAACAAAGTTGAATTGCTGTGCACCTTCGTCTCTTGGACCGCAGCTATCAATATACCATGCCGACACATGAAGACGGTTATCTCCTCAATCTTGCTCTGTAGCCCGTTGCAGTTAAATTGAAGGAGCTTCATGTGGTTCGGGAGACGTGTTGTGATGTGGGGTGTAAAGGATGTGTGTGTTCTTACTGCCGTTGGCTGTGTGCGCTGCTGTGATGGTTGCTGCCCTGTGGTGGTGGCGGGAGGCGTCGCAGTTGGGGTCTGCGACCGAGCAGCGCAACACGGGCCCTCGAAGTTCCTCGTCCAGTCTCGCGTGGTACGCAGACCTGAGCATGCCCTAAAGTGGCACCAGCCAAGGCAGGTGTTGCACTTGACTGATGTCAGATTGCGGAATATCCTGGTCTGACATACCGTGCAGATTGTAGGAGGAACCAGGAGTTGTTGGCGGCGGCGTGTGGGTGGTGGTGCGGCTGTGTGTGTTCTATGGTCAGTCGTGGCTGTGGTATGGTCTGTGGTGTTATTATGTTGTTGTGCTGTGGTGACTGTGTGAGGCTGCTCTAGTGGACTGTGGTTAGCCGTGGAGGCTGCTCTGTTTGAGCAGCAGGGGGCCACATACGACGTGGTCCACTGCCGATGTGTCCGTAGTCCTGAGCAGACTCTGAGGTGACACCACCCCTGGCAAGCATTGCACTTGACAGAGGTGGAGTTGTGTTGTAGTCGTCTCTGGCATACACAGCAGGTGTAGGTTTCATCTAACCCCGTTTAGGTCGGCGAAGTATCTCAGTTGGCGTTGACGTCGCTTCAACAGCTGACTATGAATACCTGAATGCAAATGCAGCCGTCCACATAGCCAATATTCGGCAACGCTCACGGCAACACAAAGCAAAAAGATGGCTAAAAGTGTGTTTGCATTGTTCAACTTTGCGTTCAACATTTGCGTTCAACTCAGCGCAGGGTTGCACGAAAAAAAGTTGAATGGCTAAAAATATCAAAATATGAAAAAATATCAAAATATTCGCCATAAAAAGGTGTTTGCATTGTTCAACTTTGCATTAAACTTTTGGTTGAATGGCCTTTCAACTAATCGCTTTCAACAAAGTTGGTCGCCAGCCAACATTTAGCCATTCAACTTTTTTTTCGTGCAACCCTGCGTTGAGTTGAACGCAATTGTTGAACGCAAAATTGAATAATGCAAACACTGCTTAACTCTCATCTTTTCGCGTGCGTCGCTCGTCAGCTGTTCCAAAGAAATAAAATTATGTGAAATATTTTTCCCTTTTAATCAATTGCGGGCAAGAAATACCGTTTTTAATGCAATTATTGATATGAAATATTAATTTATCTGTCGTTAGTATGTTAATTTAGTGGTCCAAGCATTCACTGCCAAGCGTTCATTGCAGCAAGCATACTTTTAACGTGCATTCTGTCAAAAAAAAAAAAAACCCTCAAGAAAAAAACATTTAAAAATATAACGAATCATCAAAAATAATTTATTTTTAAAGATGTGAAAACAAAGGCAAATAAACCATCACGAAAATGTTATTTTGTGCATTTACCTGTGTCCTTGACCT